AAGAGATATGGGGAAGGGGACAGAACACAGATTCGTTCAGATTTAGGACGAGCTATTTTTGTACTCGTAATGATAAGAGGGGATGGGTGGGTGGTGGAGACTCCATTCGACATAGACCAGAAAATTTCACAATGACCAACAGATCACAAGCATCATGCAACCACGGATGGTAGCTCATGAGAGAGAAAAAATATTATGCACATCGGCACGATATACACGGGAAGCTGGTGAAAGCAGGCACGAAGAAGATATGTTGACAGGCACGCGACGGACAACGACGAGGTGTGATACTCGATGAACTTTCATGGTTAGTGGTGAGGGTGTGGGTGCTTAATGTGGTGGGACAGACAACAACTTACCGACTCAATGACACAGTTCGAGAGCTGTACGTGCGTATACATTTAGGGTGTGCGTGCACGTATGAGGAAGGAACGGCATAAGGTAAGGGCAGATGACAATCAAAATGTTCACTAAAGTGGCTAGATTGTGCGAATGATTTTGTGACACAGCAGACCGACAGCTGTGAAAGCTAGGTAAGGCAGGCGGCCAAATTCAAGCCACTTACCAAAAGTTCATTTCTCCGGAAACGTGAATTTTTCAACACAACAACAGCGAATATGACATTCGTCCAATGAAAAAAATATTTGATTGATCGCACCACACTGATATAAACAATGACAATGGTCCAAGAAAACAACATTCCGCATCTTGAAGAAACAATGAGAAAACAACCAAACCAAAGAAATCACAGAGCAAACCTGAGACAAAAAAGCTGTAAAACAGCACAATATACTTCCAACAGTGAAAAGATGAAAAATCACGATTTGGCGATTAGCTACTTATGAGTAACAAGAATCGGGACTGCTAGACAAATGAGTTGATCGTTGCTCGACCTCAAAGTGACGAGAACATTCCGAAGCGCAAAGAAAAGAACAGCATCCATTGCAGTGAGACGAAAGAAATACAATTACTTCTAGAAGTTATTTTATTACATACTCAATCTGAAAAAGAACGTAGATCATTTATACGACACAGTAACGTAGTTCAGCAACACCCATTCGTTACGACTACTCTTTCAAATGAGGAAATACGGTCATTTGTGTTGAAAATGACAAGCACCAAAGGTAACTTACACTAGAACAGCGGAACTGCGTGAAAGGGGTTCACTGTTACGCGACCCCTCATGGCTGGTACGCCAAGGCGGTTTGGGACTGAGAAATCCTGCCAGTCGACTTCGATCCGCACTTTGATCCTCCTCACGTAATCCGCCTAGCATGCTGTGTTGTCGAACTGAGGCGTGAAAAGATGCTGGGTCAATTGGATCCGAGGCTAGTGGTGTTTGACGCCCTCCCGGTCGACAGTATTTCGGTACCAGAGGAGCACATTTCTCGTGACACAGGTAGTTGCATTGCGTGCATCGAGCTGCCGCTCGTGTCGTACTGAATGACAACAAAAAGTTCTGACAGTACTGACAACGCACGTTCGACATACTGATCGTGGTCTGGGCAAACTTGTGGGGCTGTAATACCCAAAAAGGGTGCAACACGGAAAAGTAGATCAGGCAGAACAAAAATTAGTGAATGGCTATTCTTTTCGAACATTTATTAGCGATGAAAAGTTGTGCAACTTCTAAATCATATGATCCATACTGTTGACTCATTTCAGAAAAGAAACGATGAAACATTATTGAATGAAAAATGCAGTTTCTTCGGTGACTCATCAACTGGCTAGTACATCACACATCACATCATTTTGTATAGAAAAAAGGAAACAAAATGAATGATTATTCAAATGAGGATTGTTGTTATTGTTTTCTGTCTCTGATTCACAAAACCGGATATGGCTGATCCTGTCATCGGAACTTAAGCTTGATCCGTGTTAATTGTGTGATCTGGGGCGCGGGTGGGGGAGGTGGATGAGGATGAGAGACAGAGGGCCATGGTAGGTTGAGTGACTTCACAAATTGTTTTTGGGCACAGAGGGGAGGATTATGTAGACGAATTCCAAACGCCTCTACGGTGGCTCGGATGCAGCTTTCAATCGGTTTTGATCTGCAACCTCGGTAGAAAAGTCAAAATGCTTCAGTTACACTTACTGTGTGATCGGACTCGACGAGGTGTGAAACGATGGCACTTGTAATAGTTTTAATCAAACCAGTGCTCAGCCAGACCGGATGACGTTCCCGAACTCGTGTAAATAGGCTCCTGCTCGTGCGGCCGATATAGGTTGCTCCACAGGAACACGTAAACAGGTACACACAAAATGAAACTGCAGAAGCAGGAATCCTGTCTTTGAGTTGCGAACATAAGATCGGTCTGGATGTGAATACCACACGTAATTTTGCCGCGTGAAAAGTATTCTCCAACGCAGTTCTTAGTTTGCGGCCAACCAATTTTGTGATTGTATTCCCTTTCGATGGGAAAGAAATGTATACTGGCTTCTTCTCTGCTCTTAAAAGTCTCCCTCGGACGGTTATTTCGCAAAACTTTATTCACAAAACGTTCTGGATAGCCATTTTGTAGGAAAACATCACGAATGAATGATAATTCCTCCCCCTCTCAATCCCACCCCCAAATCACACAATTAACACAGACCAAGCTTAAGTTCCGATGACAGGATCAGCCATATCCGGTTTTGTGAATCAGAGACAGAAAACGATAACAACAATCCTCATTTGAATAATCATTCATCTTGTTTCCTTTTTTCTATACAAAATGATGTGATGTGTGATGTACTAGCCAGTTAATGAGTCACCGAAAAAAAAGATTTTTCGCTAAACTGCATTTTTCAATCAATGTGTCGCTGGTATATTTCGGGAATCAATCGTTTCATATTATTGAGCTAATCAATGCACAGAAAAAGGCCGTATAGACGTGACTGGATTGGTCTATATGCAGAACAAAAGTGTGACTGGCTCGCCAAAGCTTTATTCGCCGAGAAGTGGATAGCCAACAGACTGAGTTGAAGACGAAAACGATGTGTGACATGAACAAGAATACCGATTTGAACGTCTAAAAGACTCAGTATGACAGGCATGGTATCGAGCCGCACCTATGATCAAAGTTGGCTGGTAAAGATAGAATTAGAACAGTGAACCTTCGCGTAGAGAGCACTCTAATAGCAGCGACTTAATCAGCGCGACCAACATCTCGCCCAAGGCTAGCCAGGTGATAGCAGTGCCGTGAAAGGTCATTCATTGATCGTTATGTTGCGACCAAACCCAGGAATCAACTGAAAATGAGCCAGTAGAAAAAACAAATTGGGTTGCGGGAAAAATCGGCGATTTCCGATATCGGAAATCACCTGTTACGGTTTCGTGCACTGAAAGAAAATCGCTTCGGGCACCGATTAGCTGAAGAGAAAAATAAACTGCCCCAAAAACAGCGCTTGGTAAATAATTTTCAGCTCGCTTTTGTGCGTCCAGGGACGCATTAAACCAATCTTGGGGTTCTATGGCCAATCGTTCGGCAGGTCTGATCGGATCTAGCTTTTAACGCGCGTAAAATCATTGACGCTGGACTTCCGTTTATCCGGTTTCATTTGCTGTTTTTCAGCCAACAACCAGGGAACAGAAGAGTGAAACTAAACACAGAAGGACACTGCATACACGAACACCGACAGCTCAAAAAGTGAGCATAATTTGATAACGTATCTAAGTCCGTAGGAAATCCGACGGCTGATAGAACGATCATTAGAATCCACTGACTGGTTCCCTCTAAGGAATCCGAGAGGCGATTTCGAATCGGTTGACTTTTCTGTCCCCTACACAGTGACCTTGAAAACAAACGCCAGTCTAGTGTTCGATTTCCAGAAGCAGATCCACCAAAAGTGAGATAATCTAACTATGGGTTATTTGGGAGCACAAATGACACTGGACTGGGGAACACTCACTGTGGAAAACATCAGGGTAGATGTGGCAATCTCCTCCGCGGTGGCTATGGTTGAAAGAAGTACAGATTTTGTCTGATTGGTGCTGTAAACGGATCCACTTGTTAAACTGTCAGATTCGTAGCCAAGACCGGTTTCCAGGCTGGGCTGCGAGTGTAGATCAGCATTCTGCGACAATCGTGGATGGCGTCTCGTCAACCGTCTTAGAGTGGCAGCTCGATGATCATCCATTGCAGCCGAGCGGGCGGCCATGCAATCGTCCAGAGAGTCGATGTCACTGCCCAAGTCGTCCGGCTCGGTATAAACCTCTTCTAGTCCATCGTCATGGAACGCCTCATCTTCGGATTCCGAAGTCAATGAGTGTGTTCCATGAGTGACACGAGTGACACGAACCACTTTCTCACTAGGTCCTACTATGCCATTTACTACTTTGTTGAGATCATTTGTCGGTTTCGACTGCGAGCCAGCGTCCGGTTCTCCCACCATAAACGACGGATCTGAAGTTGTTCCGGTTGCCACATCGAACGGTTTCGATCCAGCTGCTCGTTGTGGAGTCAGTGTGGTGGTGTGATTAGCCGACCGATGCATGTCGGTTACGGTGCCGGAGACGGCACGTCGTGGCGGAACAGCAAACAACGTGTCCGTGTTCACCGTAGTCAAACTGGTGGCCGGTTCGCTACCTTCCCGGAAATCCATTGTGATGGTCAGACGATTTGTACTGGACGGATCATGCAAACCGCTGGCTTTGGATGAGGATTGACTGTGGTGAGCGGATGTGGTCGTGTCAATCACACGATGCTGAATGCGTCGGCGAACTGGACGTATTTGCGGGTAGAAGTTGATCTCGTCTTGGGCTTGTTCCCACGCTTTACGCCATCCAATGGCTTCTTCGCCTTCTCTAAGTCCAAGCACTGCGTAGATTTGTTCCTGAGTGAGATAAAAGGGCAAAGACAGATATCCCAATCAAGAGTTAACAATAAATCGGGAGCAAGTCAATAGATGATCTTGCACGTCATTGAGAAACTTGGTAGAATGGTCACTTGATTTTTTGACACATTATCGTTAACAAGTCCTATTGAGCATTCTGTTTGGAAGCTTTGCGAACAGAGACAATTATTTCAAAGGGGGAGATTATTCGTATATACAGAGCAAATGAAGCGTGCGCTGAAGACCTAGGAAGCACTGGGCAGCTGTTTCGACCTGGTTGGGTCTCATCAAATCCTTTATTACTCATGGAAAAACCTTTGGTTTGCATTTGACTCACAGTTGCTCAGTGTTGTGACCGACCGTGGACTGCAGTCTTTTGTGCATGCCGATGACCTGTTTGATTGACTGGTCGAGGCTACCTCATATCACACACACACGTCATACGGACTGACTCTACTATAATATCGATCCGCATCAGCCAATCACATGTTAATATTGAATTGCCCATGCTGATTGGCTCGCTGACTGCCTGTTTGACCGCATCCGGGTATCNTAACGTTTGAACTAGTAGTCGACCTTTTTGGCTTGATAATCGACCCAGAGACCGGCTACATGCGTTACCCATTACAAATAAACGTTCTGTCCAATTTTCCACGTAGTTGTTTGCATGCTCAACACTTAGGAGCAGTAATGTGGAATAAGTATAACTGATTTGAACTGGCCGTCCTTCAGACTCCATCTTCGCGTCAAGTACTACGCTCGGTTAACCGAATGAAAGGAGGATTGTATGTGAAGATGGAATCCAAGGAATTACTACCACGAATTGATACAAAATGATTACTACTTTTGAACTCAGTGAAAACAAGATGCGACTGACGAACCACGAAAGCGGTAAAAGAGGATTAGTGGTGATGAAAATTCTCTAATCATGCATACATTCCGCTTCAACACCGCTTTAAAGCATCAATGTATGCTGTTGCAAAGGGATCGGAGCAAAGATTGCTCGGTAGCGCTCAAGACATGTGTCAAACAGTCGTTGATTCTTCCACAGTGTGGAACTAACCTTGGCATACCTATAACCTACTCATAATGTGAAACCATTGGATTTATATCTAGATGGTGTCAACACCAATCCAATCGTTTAATATTTCCAGATGAAAATGGTGATATTGTCGCATGCGACGTCTGTGGCCGAACCATGCAGGTTTAAAAGAGCGTTCGTCTTTCTGTTTATATATATATATATATATATATATATATATATATATTCAACGGTAAGAAATACTCGCACATTGGGTAATAGCTTTCCACGAGTCATTCTCGGCTCTACACGTGATGTTGCATGTTGCATTCTGGGTCGTGGCGCAATTGCACATGACTTGTGTTCATTTTAACAGTGGATTGGGACCACGCTCGCCGAACTTAGCGGACATATTGTTCAATGTTGTGTGTTGGAGCGAAAAGCTATTTCATTCGCGGTGATTATTTCACCTTCGCTTTTTGACCTAGCAGGTCCTCATACACACCAAATGATCTTTCTGTTATTTTCCTCACCATATACAAATTATTATTGTCATAATTGTTGAAGGTAATCATAAAACATGCATTCAACAGGATGGAGCGATCCTACAAAAAAGCGTCTAACATGAGAAAAAAATCGATAATGCGTTTCTATTTCATCCATTACACTTGGAACCTCAAAGAGAAGGGGATTTTCATGAACTGCATGAGAGCCTGAAGGAGAACCAAGCGACCGAACCGCCACCAATGTGAATTCATTCAAACCGCTTTCCGTCTAGGATCGGGAATTGCACTGTACCGATTTGTTGCATTAATCATCGCTGATCTAGATTTTCTCAAAACGAGGTAGACAATCCTTTTGTGTGCTCAACATGACGTTTTGTACGATTCGCGTTAGTGATATTAGAGGTCTTGAATGATATGACATTACCGGGGAGTATACCGGAGGCAGGAGACAGACTGACTATTTTCACCAAACCTACCACGTGTGTGTTATTGAATCCCTGTCGAAGGATAGGTTCATACGGGCGACTGTGCTGTTTCCGATAGCTTGGAGAGAAATGATCCAGATCGTAGGTCGGACCGGTAGCCAAATCTTCAGAAAGATAGAACTGCCAGATGTCCAACGAGGCCAGATTTGTGGCTGGTCGTAATATCTGTGATATATAGATAGTAACAAGGGAAGAAAGCCGGTTGACGGTAGAGAAGGAAAAATAAACAAACAAGATTGAAACAGGAGTTAACAAATGAGGCCAGATCGTGACGAACCTTCTCACTCATTTGTCGGGAATAACGGAAATTGAAGAACACAGGCCATTCCTCATGCTGTTTTTGAATATACGTCCAAATTGAGTGCTGATCGTACTGACGGAGCAGTTTATCCTGTTCCAGATGACCGGCTCCGAGACCGGTTGTGATATCCATTGAAACCGACAGATTTGAATTCAGACCATCATTCGCATTTAGCCAAGCACTGACCCGATCCGATTCACTGTCATATTTGAAATTATGAAATCGATTGGACATGTGATGATAGGCTAGGAATTGTAGAAAGAAATCGTTGAATTCAAACGACAGAGGAAATTGACGCAAAAGTTGATGGACAGCATCGAGAAATTGCAAAAACACCGGCGAAATAGGATCCCCTTTGCTTGTGGCCGTTTGATTCAGCCTTTGATTGAAACGGTGACCGAATAGTAACCATTCTTTCTCAATCAAGGCCCAAAATCCAGCTAGTGTCCGGTAGTGCGGGTCCAACATGATCTGCGCAAGTGCCACGGTCTAAAGAGAGGACAGTGAAACAGATTGTGAGATGCACCGGTGGGTTGTTGACCAAGAACACAATTTGTTTATTTGTAATATGCATGAAATGGACATAATGATGAAATATATTCCGAGACACAAAGGGTTCCACGCCACTCCCGCGATATATTCAACGGTGTGTATATACCGCATTTAATTAGAAACGCACCACTACTGGATTTGCGAATCGCTATGCTGAACAACTGTCAAGCAGTTTAGATTGGAGAATGAGATCTATAAAAAAGTGACTCGACAAAATGATGAATTCACGATGTGTCAAGAAAAGGATGAGCATCTATTGGAGAGACAACAGAGCTGTACTCACAGAGGTGACCTGTGACTAACTGAACACATGCTGGTATTAGACCGTCTGGAAACTTAATTTTATCCGCCCCCCCCCTCGCCCGCCAGGACCTATGGGACGCTAGACACCACTGGTGATTATCAGAATTCAGTAACTGAAAGAAAAACATGCGTATCTATACATAATCATAAAAGTACAACGCTAGGATCTCAAAAAATAATAATAATCATTAAATCAACGCCCCGTGAAACACGGTTGTTTGGCATTATGCTGAAAATTTGAGCATGTAGTAACCTGAACCAATTCAGTAGAAACCGATCGATTACACTTAGCTAAACACAAGACTCTGATATGCTTGCTATACAGTGGGTGCGGGATGGGGGGAGAGGTTATGGCTCTTACTTTTAGGGGGCCACCTTGCGACCAAAATGCACTTTGTTAAAAACACAACCTTACCAAATTGGAGATCACGGTGTATCAGTAGAAACTCGTTCAGGCAATTCAGGACATACTGATCCCGCTTGTAAAAAAGGGTGAATAGACAGACAAACAAACAAAGAGATTCACGGTGCGTGTGTGTGTGTGTGAGTGGACAACTACCGATGCCACTCTTCATGTGACAACGAAAATGATAAGAAATACGGCAAAGTTTGTTACACACACACACACACCGAGCAGACCGATCGACTGGAGCACGGAATAAGAATAATCTCCATCTCACGGAGCAGCCGTTTCCGCATGAGTACACAATGCGTCTGCGGAATAGGTCGAACGAAGAGAACAACACATGGTTCTAATCCAGTTATCCAAGTCAGTTTTGCAAATCTTTTAGTGAATAAACCAAGTGTGCATTGAGTCTGCATTAGGAACAGAACGATGATCAAACACATTCAGGAACAACAAGGGAGATGATGCTGGACACCCGGTCCGAGTTGAACTTAGACAAGCACTCGGTTTTGGAATAGCCTGTGCGTCGTGATCGGTCAGTGCGGTTTTGTACAAATTACTAACCAAGCGGCGTACGAACCATATACGGGTTGTGACAATAACCATTGGCTCCATTGGGCATCAAGGTGCATTGGGTACCGTGGACGCTTGATCCCATCCAAAGAGCGTATGATCCGATTAGCTGGACATCGGTCCCCAATGGATGGTGGTTTTCACACACCGCCCCATTGCCCTGCCGGTTAAGCTTAGACTAGCCGAAAGCTCCGAATCTGGACTCCTTAGGAAAATTTTCCTGTTTCAGTCTGGGCAACGTAGGAGTGTCGCGTCCACGAGTAAATCATGTAACTTTTTATGTCTATAAAGAATACTGTCCCGTGATTTGTTTGGCATTCAGTCTTAACTCAGATGCGTGTGTGAAAAATACATATATAAATAGTGAATACTGCTGCATCGGAATAACTTTGCAATTCTGACGAAATACACCACTGGGAGAGGAGAACCAGACGGTAGATAGTTTCAATTCCAGTCAGCTTATCGCGTATCACGTAATCGGCCACACCCCGGTAACCTCGTTTTGTCCGAGGATTGCTTTCTTCCAATTAACAAGGGGGATCCCATGATCATCGATCGAAATTTAACTTGTTAAAAACAAATACTAGAACAGATAGTGATGAAAAACTATTTTTTTTGTATTTAAATGAGATAGAAATGTTTATGATAACCGACAAGAGTAGTTGAAAGCTGTTTTTTCCTGTTTGGGACTCATCAACACTGCATACTTTTTGTGTCCCTGTAGGACTCGAACAGCGAACTTTCGGATTGGGACTTCAAACCCTTAGCTCTGAGCTACACGGTCGACGGTCATCACCTTGTGCGAATGGCTCAATCAATCTTGGAGTATCAAACTTGGATTAGCGCATTCGGTTGTTCAGAGGTACGAGACACTCTTGACGGTCTTGGATGTGGGTTTCACTCCTTGGGAGATCGTTAATTCCTAACTAGCTGAAGGCATTTAAATGCGATGGAAATGTTTGTGATAACCGACAAAGATCACAGGACAGCTGCTTCAAGCTTGTTTGGGAATCGTCAGTAGTGCGTAATATCAAGAGTGCCTCTGAACAATCGAATGGGTTAATTCAAGCCTGATACCCTAAAAATATCTTCAGTGTTCTTCAATCACGGAGCATAACACAACGAAGCACTCACAAGTTGAAATAAAATAGATATGGAATCAGTAAAAAAGAGTTTATTCATCGTAAGATGCACTTTTTGAATTTAGACAGTTTCCTCGATGTAATGATTCAAAGAACGAAGCGAGTGAAATTTCGTTCAGTTCAGTTCAGTTCTTACAACCATTAACCATGCACTATTGTGCGCCGATTTTGGTTGCCCATTTGGATAAAACAGCAGAATGATGCTTACAATGTTGAGAGCAGATTTAAGTGGAAGATAGTACATTTTCATTGACTGAATTTACAAGAATAATGAGTAGATGCATGAGCGCCACTGTTTGCGACACCCAGCCATATCACTCAGTGTAGCTAACCATCGGTGACCATCATTCCGAGGTCCCCAGTCAGGGAGCCTAACGGGACCTATGTGAGCCAGTCTCCTGGTCAGGGTTTTCATACCCTCATGCCAGGTCTTAGCTTGACCGCCCTTCATTTTTTCCAATCGCTACTTGCCTCAGCAAGCATCGCTCGCAGTGGCAACCTATCTGGTGACATACGTAGCACATATCCCAACCAGCGTAATCTATGGAGGTGGACTACCTGTTCCAGTGAACGATCGCGATTACCTAAAACTCTACGCCTAACCTCAGCATTGCTCGTCCGGTTTCCCCACCAGACTCGCGGAATGCTACGTAGACCTGAAATGTCGTACTTCGAAAGTTTACCCTACTAATTGTCTGTGCACCTCGAGACGATTGTGGTATAGCCAGAAGTGAACAAATGGTGGAAACATGGAGAGAGAGTGTGTGTCGGGAGAGGGTTATAAGACATTGTTGTAGCGCTGAGTATTTTCAAATTCCATGGAATTTTTAAAGGTACAATAGATAGTTTACAATCTTTTTGATGACATAAATTTGTGTGTTGAACAGCAGAGTGAACCGTATAATTGCGAAGATCTGCTGCTGCTGTTCGGTCGCGGTAACTGACAACTTTAGCCCCGCAGAACTTGGAGTGGCGAACCACATAAGCCCCGTTAGGTCAGGTGTGGGGTATCGAACCGGACGACAGTAAAGCCATCCAGCGATAATTATTGGATGATGGGTTCGAAACACAGTTCGTTTTTGAAATAATCCTTTTTTATTACACATTTGTGTGGTGAACGGCAGACGGGGCGAATCCCATAGTCACGAAGATCTGCTGTTCCGTGACGGTAACCGGCAACCTAAGCCCCGGGACTTAAAGTGGCGAACCACATAATGCCTCACTAGGTTAGGTGTGATATTGAACCAGACGATAGCAAAGCTGCCTGCCACCAAAAGTGGGTGGCGATGGCGGGGCTCGAACTCCAAACCATAGAGTCCAAAGCACGGCAGTGACCGCGACTAAACCACTGCGCCACCACCACCCGACGGAACGCACGGTGTATCATCTTCCGGGTAATTGTCGAGCCAACGTGTATCGACTAGAAATCTAGTGTAGAGACAGGTCCCAGATGGGAGAAAAGAACCAAGTCCGACAAAAAACACTCGAGCCAAACATGGACTGATTTGTTAGTGATACAGATTACGGTACCGCGATTTGATTAGCATACACTCGTGATTCCGAGGCGTGTAAGACAAACTGTGAGGTCGTTCTCGCGATCACACGCGCTGGGTTCGTTTGCCATTTTTCAACCATAAATCCGGTCCACAAAGAAAGAAAGAAAGTGTGATAATAGTGACAGGATAAACACATAACGCCGATCAACTAAAGTTCTGCAGATGCATGATCACCCATGTTAACGACACTCAATTATGTCAATTAATCTCTAATCATAGTGTGATGGAAGTTGCACAAAGCGAGCCCCGGCTAGCGAACGGATCAAGAATAGGGCCCATACAATCAGATGCTCAGACGTAGCGGCTGGAAGTACTTCGCGAGACAACGTCGGCTGCCACTCGAAGCGAACGAATCAGCAATTACAGCTCGACGCACAATCGGAATCTAGCCAGAAAGTTATCCATCGAATACCACAACGTCGGAGCTGTCGATCAACGAATCTCGCGCTACGATCGGGTCAAACCAGTCGGAACGGCACGCAGAAGAAGAGGCAACGGACGTGCCAAGTGCGGACCAAAACCACTAGAGAGTGACCAACAGACAGGCATGAATCATCCTGCCGCACGGTTAAGAATTGATTGTATATAATCGAACGCATACACCGATTGTTTTTGAATTGGATCAATAAACGTTTCCCCAGCCAGCTCGTCTTCTCGTTGCAATTGTTCTGGGGTATTCAATCTGTAAGCCTACCACGACTCATATAACCGAGTCTGTTAGCTATTGTTTCAGTCCCAGGTTTTTACAACCATTAACCATGCATTTCCGTGCGCCGGTTTTGGTTGCTGTCTTTTCGCCGCCCATTTGGATAATACAGAAGAATGAGGATTGGAGTGTTAACAATTAATTCAAGCGGAAGATAGAGAATTCATAAACACGGAGGTTGCGAGAATAATGAGTAGATGCATGAGCGCCACTGATTGCGACACCCAGTTATATAACACAGTATCTCTAACCACCAGTGACCATGATCATTAGGTCCCCAGCCAGGGAGCATAACGGGCCTCATGCGACCCGGTATCCTGGTTACGGTTTTCATACCCTCATGTCAGGTCCTAGTTTGACCGCCCTTGACCTTTTACCAACCACCACCTGTCTCGGAAGACATCGCTCATCGTGGAAACCTATTTAGTGATATGCGTAACACATGCCCCAACCAACGTAATCTATGGGGGTCGATTACTTGCTCCGGTGGACGACCACGATTAATTGAAACTCTACTCTTAACTTCAGTATTGCTCGTCCGCCTGCCCCACTAGATTCGTGCAATGTGACGTAGACAGCGGAGTTCGAACACCAACAATCTATTTCTATCCTGTTCGCGAAATGGCCAAGTCTCTGCACCGTAGAGCAAGGCTGACCGAACTGCTGCAGCATACACTCGACCCTTCACAGACAGCCGGATGTCACGACGGTGCCACAGATGCTTCAAGTTGGCAAATACCAACCGAGCCTTTCGTATACGCGCCGACACTTCGTCCGTGATGCGTCTGCTAGGTGAGATATAGCTGTCCAGATAGCTAGCCACTGTGAGGGGGGGAGTTCATACCCTCAGTTCGGATCATAGTCAACCCAATTATGGTTATTTTTCGGGTGCTACAGAGAATGCTAAACACCGAGAATATGTATACCAAAAGCAGCAGCCATTGCAACTGATAGAAGTGAAATATTCGCGTTGAGGCGGAACAGTGATTGCCAAATAACTTGGGAGAATTCTTAACTTTCCTCATCCGCTGGTCTCTACGGACTGATGTAATCCGGACAGAACAGGAAGGAATGGTGCCGGCATGGAATTGGAAAGAGGACACCAAATAAATAATCAGCTGTTCAACATATTGTTACGAAGGCTTAGTAATAAAAAAAGCTCTGCGCCTCACATGATCCCGGTTAAAAAAAATCAACCCCAGTGAGCCATCTAAACTCAAACAAAATTAACTACCGCGAATACCGGTTCACGTACGCACCACGGTTAATATCAAACTGAATATTTTATCCATTTGAAAAGAATTCGATCGATCTATCTAAATACATTTTAAAGTTGTTGAACAAACGTGGACATCCCACCTAGTTTCATATTCATCTTCCATCGGATCTTACTCTTAATCCCGAAAAATGTAGGAACGAATGTATTTTTATTCTAAACTGTTCCCCATCTCCCTCCAACAATGCATGGAAAGTCAATGAGCAGAGTGATCTTCGCTGGTCCTGACATACCCAAACTGTTGCTCGCAACTTCAAAGTTCTCTCTTTTCAGATAAGAAGATGTGTCAATTCTGTTCTGATTATTTTTGTTCAACAATGTGTTCTCCCTATACCCCTTTACTGCTCCCCTGTAATTTTCAGTGGTTTGCTGAAAGCTGATTTCAGGTTGTTAAGACATGGCCTCTCAATAATCAGCCGTGTCTCCCAAGTTCCGTTATCTGTTCTGATTGGCAATATGTGTAATGCCCATATTGATGCGTGCTTGAAGTTTGCTGGCAATATCCTATTTGATTGCACCAGTCGTTTACACATTGACCTGTGTGCATGCAAATTCCACCCCTCCACCCGTTCTAAGTATGAACGTATCCCGTCTGACATATCTGCAAACAGAAACTTTTTGGTACCCTATCTTGTCCGGATACCGATCGACAAGGAAAGTGTTCGTTCTGAGTCTTAAAATAAACTTTGTAGTTAACTCATATTTTTGTACATTTTACGTCCCACTTTTCACCTGTTTTTTTACCAGAATTGTACCGGTGGTCGGCTTTTTTTGGTTGAAAGATTGTATATAACTAGCTAAAGCTTCAATACCACACAAGATGGAAGCATTGGTTGGGTGGGGGCGGGACAACACAACGAGCGAGATTATGACCGGAGTAAAAAAACGATTTGCATGCACAATGCAGGATACACACCTACAGTTACAGAAGATATAGACAAAGAATGCGTGTTGACAAAAAGGGAAATAATCGACTGACTGACCTGGGTTACCGCATCGGTTCCGTCTTCCAAACACAAGGCCACGGATGAACCTTGAGTGTCAAGCAAATAGACCACAGCACCAGCCAATTGGAGTAGAGATTGCAATTGAATCAACCAACCGGATTCGTTAATCGCTGTATGTATGTTTGTGGAGTTCGAACCAGTACCTGTTTGTCCGGTCAGATTGGCCGACGTAGCAGTACCCGAAGCGGTACAACTAGCGCCAGTCCCAACACCACCAGCGCCACCAGCACCACCACCGCCGCCAGCAATAACGGCAACTGGATCCAAGTCTGGAGGGCTGTTTTGGACCCCACTGCTTCCTCCGGACCCCGAAGACTTACCGGAGTCGTGAGGTAGACACGCTTTGAAGAGAATTTTGAAACTGTCCGCGATGGCAGACTGACTAACAAAATCCACCGGGACAAATTCAACCGAACGAAGATTGGAGTGTTTGGCTAGGTTCTGAAAAGAAAAAAAGAAAATAAGCAAGTGATAAATGCTACAACTCCGACCGTAGGATTTATGCATGTTGGACAACCTATCAATCAATGACTATTATATTCGGTTCATTGAGGGGCATGGTGCGTATCGCATCCTAATCAACACATGACCGAGATAGAGAGGGGGATCGATATTTGNCCCCCCCCCCCCCACCCCAAGGAACGCTATGCATAAATAAAGAACGGATGACTTGCGAAACATTGACAAGTCTTGATCCCGAATTTCCATCACACGGAGTAGAAAACCGTTTGTTCTCGTCCACAAATCTGTCGTATATCAATCAAGCGGCTGCGCCAATGAGTCAAGTCATATGGTAACGCACAACTTGAGAAATCAGATAAACAGGACACTGCCACTACTTTAGATTAGAAGGGGTTGATATCATGGGTATAACACTAGCCAGGGCACGGATTATGTAAGACTGTGTGAACCCACAAAGCAGCACGCTATTCTACCGGAGAAAACAACCGATAGGTTACAAAAACATCTAACATGGCAAGTACAACTTCTAACTCAACACGTACTATAAGAGGGAATGAGCAGAGTTATTGATTGGAAATCTAATCACTTGGAGCGGAGTGTGTTGAAATTTCAGTGTAACCAATCTAGTGTATCGATGAGCCGATGAGTTCTAGACCGGCAGAAAATGAACAAACTAAATTTTTATTCGAAAGTAACCCAAAAGTGTTCGATGATCAAAAAAGATCGCGTATGAGTCATTTGGAGCACCGCAAGGAATGAAAAATATTTCAAAGGTGAAAAATTCGCCGTGTATTTAGGGCAAATGAAGCGTGAACTAAAAAACTAGGAAGCACTGGACAGCTGTTTCGACCTGTTTGGGTCTCATCCGCGCAATGTGAATCCATAGACCCAGATGGGGATCGAACCCTGGACGTCACAGGCTGGGCGCAAGCATGCTACCCACTCGGCCATCGGACGGCTGATCAGACAGTTTTTCATTTTACATTTACACAATATAGCACAACCCATATTTGCGAGCCTGTTGCAGGCCACAGACCTCGCTCATCTCAGCCTTGTCTATCGAAAATTGGTCCGATCCCCAGTTGGGTCGATGGATTTGCACTGCTGATGAGACCCAACTAGGTCGAAACAGCTGTCCTAGCTTTTCAGTTCACGCTTCATTGGCTATATACACGATGAATTTCACCTTTGAGATCGAATCAAATCCTCCATTACCCACATGGAATAGAAAATAGCCGGGTGTATATAGTTTGATGTCCGACCAAGCAGTGAAACTCAAAAAAGCAGGACGAAGATATGGACTAGTGACTAGTGCCCCTCCACAATATGGCAAGCGTCACGCGATAACATTTTCGGATGGGATGTTCAAATTACTCCCAAAAGATCAGACAGCGTAGTTAGGACGGGGAAGAGTCTGGCCTTGGTTCGTCAGATATTGATCCATCTATCGATGGGCTTCACCTCCAGCACACCCGGTCCCTTATGGTTCTCATTAGAACGAAATACTTTGATTGCGAACCGAAAATAGTTCTCACAAGTACGTGCCCACCATGCACGCATGAGAATGATCGATAACCATCCGAATGACCATCTCTACCTTATTCCTGTTTTCCTATTCTCCACTAGCACTCAATCTGTGATTCATTGAAACGCTTCCTGTGAGTTAGTAAACTGTATGCTTGAACGGATTGATATTCTCAAAACAACTACATTATCGACCTAGCTTGTCTCAGGAGAGATTAGTGCTACTGGTAGCAGGCAAGCTTCACTATGCATATCTCAAAATGTCACACCTATCCTAACGAGGTCTGGCGTGGTTAGGTTTCTTCAAGTCTCAAGATTCCGATCGACGTTCCCTCCCCGCCCCCTGGTCGAGCAGTAAGCCTATAGGAGATTATGGAGTCCGGCGCATTATGCTGCTCCTCAGAGTGGGATGCAATAGAAAAAAAATGGAAGGCTAATGCACATTAGTTTATATTCCATAAGCTAATAATTAGTCATGTTCCGTGTTCTCGTGGTGGCGATATAGAACGGTTCATAGGATCACTAGTAAAAGCCAGTCGTATGCAATAAACTATAAGGCGGTCGGGGGCAAACAACAAGGACGTGTATCAAATAAANAACGTCCAGTTGGGTTGTGTATGGATCAAGCATAGGTGAAATGATTTTTTTGCTCTTGGGTGCAGTTATTTGAGGTTTCGTGGATTTGGAATTCGACAATGCGATCAACAATAAGCAAACCAATCATTGCTTAGCAAATCGAACTCACCTTCATCATGGACCTCTCACCTAACAGGTAAAGAGTTGGCGTGTTTGAAACCCCCGCCGCCGTGGAGATACGCGGTCGTGTTTGACCAGGTTGACCGGGACTGACACCACGAATACGGGCTTGTGAACTGCTTGCTGTACTGATAGCGTCTTCTTCTAATCCGGAGGCCATGCTGCCCATTGGTGTGCCTCGATTACGATACTGACCCATCGCGATTCCCGCGATTCGACCAAGGGCTGTCAAACAGGCACACACGCACAAACAAAAGATGGGAAAGATTGAGTAGGCATGATGAAGCGCAGCTGGCGGAAAGAGGTTTGTGGGTGATTAACAGGATGGGGGTGGGTGGCGGGGGTAAGCAAAGAGAAATTACGATCAGGCACAAATGCATTCAGTGGCTCAGTTCAGTTCACTGGCCAGTTGGGTGAATAGGCTAAAAGACCACCGAAGGGATAGCATGAAAGATGAATGAATACGGACTGGCACCAAATGCAACTGAATGAATTCGGTGAGTGAGGGCGAGAAAATGGCTCGTGTGGTTGTAGCCTCAAAGGGAGAATCAGGCCCCGTTGCACCGTGCTTAATCAGGTCGTTCGACAAACAGGAGTGTGTAGCGGTAGTACCTCGAAATGAAGAGGCAGAGCACCTCAGCACGGGGGCGCGCGCGCACGCAGTGCTGCTACCCAACTTGTGAGTAAAGTTTGAGTAAGAGCCCAATAACCATTGGGAGAATGGCTGCTCTACAACAACTACATTCTAAACGAGATCCTCTGTTCTTAGAGAAAAAAGAAAACATCAATTCCAACCAAACTCGTTCAAATAAATGTGGTTGAGGAGTTTTATTTCGTCGAATATAGCGGGAATAGGTGTTTAGAAATAAACTTGGTCGTTCAGTAAGTATCCTTCTGCGAGTTTGATTGAGAAGAGAAGAAATTCAGCCACAAGCCAAACGGTTCCCGCCCTAAGGGGTATAAAAGTGAACAAGTTGCTGGCTCGAATGATGCACTAGAACATATCACCAGATGAGCAATCAGTCAGGTCTCAACAAACAGAACAGGTTAAAAAGCACGACAGGAATGAGGCAGCAGCATTTGCGGCAATCCGTTTTCATCGTCTGCAGCAGTCTATACAATGGAGACACTGAAAATAAAATCCGCTGGGCGATAAAAGCTGCTTTTCGATAATTTCATCACGGGCCATTTACCTTTAGGTAGAGCATTCAATATTGCTTGATCCTGTGCGGGATGGATCTTATTACCATACGTACAAAGCGATCCCGACGTGCATCAACAATTTGATTTGAGCTTCCTCTTGGTTACGACATTCTTCCAGTTACCACGCTCGCATCGGTTGGTCGCCTGGCGATTGGTCACGGTAGAGATAACGTCTGGACGAAACGCTTCTGATTGCATAGTGGGGGTGGGGTCAAGCAGTTTGATTCACCTCGCACAGGATCAAGCAATATTAAATGCTCCACCTATACAGATGTAAATGGCCAGTTGATGAATTCACTGAAAAACAGTTTGTTTCGCCTATCGGATTTGATTTTTAACGAGGACAGTTTTTGACACTGCGAGGGGAACTAGCCTGCTGCTGATGGGGAATTAGAGGTTGATTCACCGGGGGATAGACAGTGGGTTTCTTCAACAAACATAAAATGGAATTTCTTTCTGATTGGATAAAAAACACCAAGGGAATCACCATTATCCAATCATTCATGTCCTATCTATCCAATAGAATGAACCGGAGACCGAATGGTGAGTGAGCACTAATAAATTTCATTCCCACATTTAGAGTTGATAATGACCACTATCTTTCATAATATTATTAAGTTTCAGTTTGTCAAACCACTAAACATGCACTTTCGTGAGCCGGTTTTGGTTGATGTCTTCTAGCTGCCCACTTTGATGAAGCGGTAGGAAAAAGACAGCAAGGTTGCAAGTAGAGTCGAAGAGAAAATTGAGAACTCCAGTAAACTATGGCTGGAAAGAAAGTGAGGAGGTACAAGAACACCACTGTTTACGACACTCAGTATCTCTAACCATCGCTTAAATCATCCCGAGGTCCCCGTCCGGGGAGCCTAACGGGAGATATGTGACCGAGTCTCCTGATTAGGGTTTTCAAAACCTCGTGCCAGGTCTTAGCTTGACCACTTGGCTTTATTCTATCCACTGCCTGCTTCGGCGAACAACGCTCGCCGTGGCAACCTATTTGGTGACTTACGTAACAAATACCCCAACCAACGTAATCTATGGAGGTCGACCAAATAACGATACACTTCCGATATGCTCGGATGTTTAGTTAGCACAAGTACTGACTACCCAAATTGATTTCCAAACTATTCAACCAAGTGTTACGTATGGCATTGCTGAAAGCGAACTGCTGAACTCTATTTCCTTAAGGGTTGTATGACAGCCGTTTGATTGGTCGCTTCTCTCTTCACGAACACTGACTGCATCAGTTGTGATCGATAAAAGGAAGTAAATATGGAAAAAAGGAATGATAAATCACGTTGTTGTGTTAAAATGTGTAGCAGAATGGATGATAGCCTCTTCGAAAACGTGGAGAAGGAAGTGCTATCAGGGTCAGCCGTGAAAGCTCAAGCGAAAAAGATTTGTCGGACTGAGTCGAAGGGGAACAGCTGCATCGGACAATCGCGATCCGGTGGCGAGCACAATATAAGAGAACCGCAGCACAAGTGCTGATTGCGGTATTTTGAGAACTGACAAACAGTGGAACTGCCTTTCTCTATAATTGTGTTCCTGAGACGTTTATTTCAATAATATGATGAGTTTATGCTAAAATTCGAAGTTGAGTCCGAGCTTACGGCACCTTTTTGCCCGAGTTCACCACAGAAAGTGATTTTCGTCAGGATTTGCCTCTCTCTCTACTTTCCTATTGAATTTGGTCATAAATCTGATTATGGAAACAACCCTATCGGCGTACGCTGGTAGTGGCATCAATTTACTTCCAGATGGCAGACTGTCTGCTCTCAAGTGCACAAAGGACATTGTACTGAGAGGTGCGGATCTACGTAAGTTGGAAGCTTTTTTGGATAGCTTGAGTGCCAGGGTAGCCATGTTCGGTATGCGTTTTGCACCGGCAAAATGTAGAATGTTAAAAGAATGGGTTGGTCCAGCATCCAGTCTCACTCTAACTGGGAAAGTAATCGAGGAAGTGGATAAGTTTTGTTACTTTGGCAGATACATCTCACTTGGACGCGTCACGAATAAAATGTCAGCTCGCATACAGAAGGCTCGGTTGGCATCTGCCAATTTAAGACATCTGTGGCGCCGTCGCGACATCCGGCTGTCTGTGAAGAATGGAGTGTATCATCCGGCAGTTCGGTCATTTCTGTTATACGGCGCCGAAAATTGGCCATCAAGGAAGCAGAAAAGACTATCGCTGTTTGAACACCGCTGTCTATGCAGTATTGCACGACTCCGATGGAACAGC